TCGCGGGATTTATCGATGAGTGTTGAAACCATTCCTCTGAGTTCATCAACCTCTTCCCGGGTCCGGGTTAGATGGGTCAGATCTCGGTCTCGTCGGTCAGGTGGGATCTTCAGAATTCGTTCTTTCTGTTGTACGGTTTCAAACTCGTGATTTGATCCGGTCAACGTGGGAATTTCAATTCGGGATTGTACTCCTATCGGAGATCGAAATTCCTGTCGGCGAAGTCCGCTGATTTTGGATCACGTCGGTGGTTTCACTGTTATTTGTTTGTTTGACAGATGTCGTTTCGGTCCCCAAGGCGGTTCCTACGGGATTAACATCAGTCGATATAGATCGATAGCTCTCAACGTTGGTTACGTTGGGACCCATAATCGTGCTTAGGGATCCTAGATCGGGCTCTTAGCAAGGGCGTTTTTTCATTATCCTCCCCATAGTCAGCTCCAAAATGTAGATCCTAAAATCTACTATAGGTATTTTGTAGTGATTATGAGTTAAATTTAGGGAAGACAAATGATGCGGGCAATGATGCTCTTAGAACACAACGATACAATCAGAATTCAGTTGACAAAAATGGAGTTTATTGATATGGGGTTTGATACAAAGAAGTAATCGATATCGAGATAACAAATCGAGATTGAAACTAAACAAATAAGAAACGAGGTCGATGAGAGTAGTATTGAACTCTAGGGTTTTATGTGTCTCCTTTGCTTTTGTTTTCGTTCTTCTTGTATAGTTCCTTTCTGACCGATTTTTTGCAACAATTTCCATGATTATCGGGATACCAGCTCAATCTCATCGGACTCAATATGAACCGAGTTTATTACTGATGGTGATGCATGGTTCTGAACCCATTTAATTTCTTACTGAAATTGGATCCAACATGTAACATACTGTATTTTTTATTTTATAAACAAACGAAACGAGGGATGGTAAAAGTAGTCATTTCCGACAACAAAAAAGGTCCATGTCGAGAGCGTGAATTCACACGTTTTAAGTGAGACATGAAAGGCAATCACTCCACAAACAGTACAGTTAAGTTTTTCCTTTTTTATATATTTCACACATTCTCCTTCGTCCTCCACTTCATCTCATTCTCTCTTTTTTTCTTCTGTAAAGATTTTTAATTCCTAGCGATAGAGAGAATGACTAAAATTTCTGTTGGATTGCAACTTGTGACAACAGATTTAAAAGTAAAACTAAACAACATAGTGATCAAATCTTCACTAAGACCAAACCGATCCAATCCAAACATCTTGGAGCTCTGTTTCCTCAAAACATGTCATCTCTGTCTGAAGCAACTCCATCAAGACAAAGATGTTTACATGTACAGGTACAGATTTGTATAACTTATCAATATTCATAAGATTATAAAAACTATTTATAATCTTCTTTTTTTGTGGAACTAACCATTTATAGTCTTTTTTTTTTTTGAACACCAACCATTTATAGTCTAAAGATGTTTTTTTCTCGAATCTCAATTGTTTTTTTTCTAAATGTTTTGGTGAAAACAGAGGAGATTTGGGATTTTGTAGTAGAGAGTGTAGAGAAAGTCAGATTTTGATAGATGAGAAGAAAGAATTAGAGGCTTCCACAAAGATCATGTTGGCAGCTTACAGACGCTGTAACTCCGGCGAGAACCGGAACTTGTTAAATGATCTACGGCGGCGACGCCAGCTATTTATAGTCCCTTAAATCTACCCACTTCACTAATTAGTAATTCTTATTTTTGTTTTTTAAACACCTTAGTATAGATATGTGGTTATTATAAAAGAGTTTGTGTTAACTAAATTCTATTAGTTGGGCTTGATTAAAAAAAATTGTATTAGTTGGATGGTTTAAATGTGATATATGGTGATTTTTTCAATGGTATACTGTGATCTTAGGTGGAGCTCATGGCTTAACAAAAACATTAAAATTATCATAGTGATTGCAGTTGTAATAATAACTGAATCAATTTTCTAACATGTCATATTCACAAATCACAACCAAACATGATTATTCAATATCATATTCAGATTGGAACTTGGCATGGCTGATCTGAACTGGATAAAATAATACTTTTTAGTGGAAAAATCTCTATGATTCGATTTGTTTTCTTGCACATGGAGATATTTTATGTATGAGGAGTATGGACCTAGGCAAACTTTAGTCTGAAGATATGAACAGCTCATTTGCCACGTGTTGAATACATACTGACTTTTGGGATCTGCTTATAATATCGTGTCTTTAATGCTACTTCAAGAATTATTAAAGAATTATTATTATTTTACTTTTTATTTATTTTACTCATAAGCCTTTTTTTCTAAACACTTTTTTTTCTTAAGTTATAATTTAACTAGCGTTTAGTCCGCCCTACGAACGGATTAGTAATTGAAAAAATTATATAATATATTATCAGTTTTATTGAATATTTTAAAATGATTGTTTACTCTAAATTGAAAATAATCTCTACTTTCAATTTGTAAGATTTGATATTTTTTATTACAGAAAAAACTTAGAATTATAATACAAAAGATTACAATTATATATATTTCAAATTCTACAAATAACAATATAGTTTTACATGTTATCTATTTTGAGATATCTTAATGTTATATATTACGGCATTTTCAGGGTAATAGTGATATTTTTGAAATGATGCTTGTTATATTTTTAGCATGCTTTTTCCAGCATATTTTAAAAAAAAAATTGGTTGAAAACTTAAAATGTATAAATACCCATATAATATTATTATTTTCACTTTTAAGCAGTTTGTCGAGTGGAATGATAAATCTGGTCACTTCTTATCCAATCACTTTGTTAAACACTCCTATTTTAGTTGGCCACATCCGCCTCAAACATATAAAACTTACCTTTTAGCTTCTGATTGTTTTCTGTTTTGTTATATATATATTATAGTCTTTTTCTTTATGTTTATTAATTATTCTCTTTCTACAGTTAATTTTAATTGCGTATGATATACTTTTTAATTTTTTTCCTCGAAATATAGAATATACTATTCTTGAAAAAATTTCAATGTACAAAAATATATTCCTTGTTTCAAAATTGTAATATATTGATTTATTTTTTTTTAAAGTATTACAGTCGAACTAATGAATGCCAAAAGGATATCTTCAACAAATAAAATATTTTAATTTTTAAAAGTGTAACATATTTGAGTATTGAACATGAGTATTGTAATGTAGATACTGAATGCGAAAATATATTTTTAAACTTAAGTTATATTATATTTAATAGAGTGGGATTAAATATGGTATTATCAACATACACATAACTACTGAAGCATAACATAGGATGAAGCATTATACAACAAAAACATGGAGCTAATATTTTATTTATCACAGAGTCATCACGTTGCTAAAATGTTATTACGAATTTATCCGACCACCGCTTTATGTCAAGAAATAAGTTTTTTTTTTTATGTTGGTAACTGTGTGAAACTCTGAAAAAAATATAAGTCAGACATGAATTTAGAATAATGGTCCACGAAACAAAGAAACATAAGAGTTTAGTTAAATTTTAATTTTGCAACTAAAAAATGACATGTGTCACGATTTTAGATACTCCTGAAGTGGCTTCATAAGAAAAGAATATGTTCTTCTTTATATATATATAGATTATATTATTAAACCTGAACATGAAACACATATCTAAAAATAATAATTTTTGTGATTTATTTTATTCTAATTAAAATATTTATTGGTATTTACAGTTCACTTCAATCCAAAATTTTAAATTTCGAAAATCTGGATATTTTAGGTAAAAACGGCTATTTTGATTTAGAAAATAATAATAATAATAGTAATAATAATAATATATAAATAAAATTAAATACACATATCACTACAGCCTGACAATTAAATAAAAAATAATATAATCATTAACGAACTGGCATTTTAGAGCATATACTAAAGCAAAACTAAAAAATTCAATACGAACGAACCTTATAAAACTTATATGTTCAATTTTTGGCTAAACACCAAAATCAAATTAGATTTGGATAGGGATCATATCCAACATTTTTATAAAAAATAGTATTTGTGATATATTTTATTTTATGGATATTATAATGTTTATTTACTATGCTATTGTATTTTACAGATATTCAGTTTTTTTTTTGGGTTAAATCAGAATTAATAATAATTTAGAACTAAATTTAAAGAATACTAATGAGGAATTGGTTTAGTGACTAAACTCTTGAATTTCTTAGTAGAGATTTAAAGGATCTTGGACTCAATTACAGTCAAGATGGTCTACTTTCCAATAAAAAGTTAATTAAAATGGTCTAAACCTTGTCTTAGAACATTTTAGTGGTGTAGTTATAAGAGAATACTTCTAGAAAATAATAATAAAATATATAAAAATAGGAGAGAAGCGAACAAAAAGGTGAGGTATTTTGTTCATAAAGATATTTTGAACAATTTGGAAGAGCTGAGTTCTACACAAGTCACATTTCTCCATTGTGTAATGTATTTTCAATAATTAATTTAAATCAAAAAATAAAATCTGTTGAAAATATTAATATAATTGTATAAGGAAATGTGTATGAGATATTCACCCAACGCTGGTGTTTTTAGGGTCCGAATGGTGACCGCAGAATTGGTATTAAAAGCGATGCAGAATTAAAGTGTGGAACGGTGCAATTGCAGTTCGTGCGGTTTGCGGGATAAGTGTGCTTTTGGTAAAATTAGCGGTGCGGAATTGTGTAGATTAGTGAAAGTATATTGTTTGCGGAATTGAACAATTAAAAATTATTAAAAATTATAAAATGATATATATCAATACAATCAATATAATTTAAAATTCAAATTTTCTATTTAGTGTTCTTATTGGTGTTAGTTTTTTTTAAATATAAATCCCAAAATTCATATGATTTTAACATAACTACATATATAAATAAAAAAATTAAGTAAAATGCAATTAAAACATTATCGTTGATTTTGATAGTGAAATACAAAATATGTCTAATAGCGAAATACAAAAATATGTCTATTTAGTGTTCTTATTGGTGTTAATTTTTTTGAAATATAAATACCAAAATTCATATGAATTTAACATTTTAACTACATATATAAATACAAAATTAAGTAAAATACAATTAAAACATTATCGTTAATTTTGATAGTGAAATACATAAATATGTCTAATAGTGAAATGCAGTAAGAAAATTAACCAACAAATTTGTTTGGGAAACTTCAACCGCCATCTACTATCATCAACTTTCATTTAAAGAATAATTATTTTAGATGTTTAATAATATCTTAAAGTATTTTTGGATATACATTAGGAACTGAAATCATGTTTGGTACAAATTCTTTTTTTGAAATTTTGAATGTTTCGGATTCTATCGGATATCCATTTAGGTTTGAGTACAATTCAGATAATATCCATAACCCGAAATACCTTAAAACAAGATCCATTCAATATTTTTATCGGGTTTAGATCGGTTCGGATTCATTTTTATCGAGTCGAATTCGGTTCGAGTTTTCGGGTTCTGTTTATTTGCCCAACCCTAATACTAACTACGATACTTAATCAGACTATTTAAAAAATTGACAAATTAAATTAAATATTGTAGAAAGCTATAATATAAAATATATGAATGAATATTTGAATAATCTCTTATCTTGTTTGACTAGACAATTTTGTTCTTTTACGAAAGAGTTGCTCTAATTGATAAATCATTAGACTAACATATACTATTTAAAGAAAAATATGATATTATAAATTAAATAAAATATAATAATTAATCTATATAATAATAGTACACTTTTGAAGCTCCTCAGCGTGTCCAATGTTATCAGGAAAAACAAAAACATATAAGATTTTGTAAGATTGAATGTTATCAATGAGTGATGAAATGGTCCAGTGGTGTAAGTTGGTGACAAGAAGTTGGTACCGCGAGTGCGCGGGTTCGAAACGCAGTGCTTGCATGTAATTTTTTTTTTTTAATTTGGGTTTTTCGGGATACCTAAAAGCTTAGGGAGATTCAGAATGATTTTTTATGCTGGTTGTTGGGATACAAAATGGCTTAAGAATTTGAAACTTTATGGGACCATCTTAGATACTTTTATAAGAAAGGTTATCATGTTCTAACCTCCAATATCATTCCAATTTAGTTATAATCATCAAATAAAATAAAAACATATTTTTCAATGATAAATATTTACCCCGAACCATTCAGATCGGCCATAAATCTCATATACATCACAATTAAAAAAAAAATATATATATATATATACAATATAATTTTAGAAAGAAAATTACACTAATAAACACATGTCTTTTTTTGTCTTGTCTCCATTAAATTATTTTTTTACATGAAAGCACTAATAACAGTAATACTCGATAAAATCACTAATAAAGGAAATGCTCGATAAAATCACTATAAAGATAAAATATGAAAATATCAACCCATATGAATTCGATGTTTATTCTTTTATCAGACTAATCAAGTTGTGTGACTTCTAATGTTTCATTCATCACCATTACAGATAAGCCAGATAAACAAATGTTAAAAAAAAACAGCAAAGTCTCATACACAAAACTACACAACACATCAACAATGTATCCAACCCCCGCGCTTGCGCGGAGATTATGCATCTAGTAAGTAAAATAAAAAAACGCACCTAAAACCACACCTTGTTGAATGTGGGAGGAAACGAAACTAATTTGTTAATAAAATAGAACAAACAAAAAACTATTTTTTTTGGTTTTGGCTAAAGGCGTTATTGAGGGAAATACGCCCCGCTAATTAAATTATAATTGAATGGGGACCTTGGTTCAATGCCGCTAACCAAATACCAAAACCGCACCGGCCTCATGTCTCCAATCATAACCTTAGAGCATGATTATCCCTATAATCCCATTTGGGTTTCT